ATTCTTTTGCTGCAAAGGTGTTTTTCTTTTCGTGGTGCATGGTTAGGCCATTCTCGAAATAATAAACTTTTAACATACAATGGACTTCTTCCAAAACCGACGCGCCCCATCGCGGCGAAACACCACGCAGTGCACTCTGGGAACTAGTTGGCCACTCAGTTTCGGTTTCGACTGAGCAGCTTCATCTCATGCTATCACGCCGCGACCGAACACGCTGCTTCCGTTTTCGATTATCTGACTTTTCACGAACGTACAATACACTCATTATCGAGCGATACAAAACGAAGACCGGGGCACTTTCCTTGGTTCCCGAAACACCAGATATTGTGCGTGCGTATGCGAACGTAGTAAGTCGTGGCTTAGTCACCTCACCCGACGAAGGCATCTTTGAGCTCAATGTCAGTAATCCCGTCTAGTACCAGTCAACTACAACTGAAATTTGTTCGTCTGGAGCCTTACACGCAATTTGTTTGCCAAACGTCCGCTTCTTGTTACTTCATTGAACGAAAAGCAAGCCGCATCCTCACGGGGTATCAAAGTTGAGGACAGCGTTTACACATGAACTTTTAAGGAAACACAATAAATTCGACCTCACTACTGCACAAAAGTTACTATGATGTCTTCCTCGTGTCATCATATATCTCCCACTCAAACTTTATGCTGATAGAAGATTAACTTTCCGCAAACGCTGAGATCGGCTAGCTACGACGGAGGCCCTAACAAGCGTCCCCTACTCCTCGCTAAGCCTTTTTGGACGAGCTTTTACTGACGCCCGAGATCTGTGCCGGGAACGGTGTGTCTGAAATTATCTCGGCATACTCAGGCAGAAAGAAAGCAAACACATAACAAATATAATGGCCATTAGCAACCGTCAAATACGCTTTGAATTCGTTCGAGCACTTGTCTGAAGAATGTCGCACCGTGCGCCGGACGGGCATGAACCCCAATGCGGTGCGCGTAGGGGTTCATGCCCGTCTAACGTACTTCCGGCGAACGGTGCGACATTCTTCACAGAAGTGCTCGACTTTTGCATTCTTAAAACGGTCTGTATGCGCAAATTCGCCTATATGATTGCAGGATAACTCTATGCGCATACGCGATGTTGAATATTAGTGAAATGCAAGCGGGTGGGGACTTCACTTCGTGCAGTGCTGCGGGTCAGTGCAAATAAGAGATAAGAAGTGTGTTAAAATTGAGCTTTTCAATGGCACCTCCGAGTTTTACCTCGCATACTCAGGCACATTAAGAAAAACAGTAATTGCAAAAAGTTATATTTCGTCTATGGACGCACGAAGCAAACAAACTTCCTGATCAACAACACTAATGTTAAGGCGCGAGCTCGATGTATGCATACTTATTGTTTGCTACAGCTTGTTGATTCGTTCACAAGCAAGATCCCCGAGCACCCGAGCTTCGCAGCGTCGAGACTCCCAGCACTGGCTCGTCCACATACCTCGATTGGAACGCTAACAGGATGGCTTAAGTACAAAAATACAACAAGCATGCGTTAAGACAAGCTATACATCTCGGGCTTGTGCTAAAGCTTCGAGGTCTGACCATTTAGGGTAGTTTAGAGACCACAAATGACGCTCTCGGGACTAGAAAACAATCTCTTGTCGACGTGTCGATCGAAACCGAAACCATGACACCCTCCTCCCTGGCCAACTAGTTCCCAGAGTGCAACGGGCGCCGTGTTGCATGCAGGGCTTTATGGAAGTAGTCTATTGGATATTGCAAAACATATCATCTTCTGTGCCTATAAGCCTTTGTGCTGCTTATGAGCGAGCCGGTATTTGTTTGCAGCAAAAGTGGGCGTGACGCTTGTGCTGAAACCAGATTTGTGTGAAATGAAGCGTCTGTGCATGTTCCGTGAAAAAAGCAGCGTCACTGAGGTGGCATGACACCAAGGCTGCAAGCTTGTGTATATGCTTGTAAGGGCATAAGAATATTTCTGCTCCAAAGCTGTATCTATTACTGCACTCATTGGGATGGCAGCTCACTGCTTATGCTTTTAGTAAACAGAAGTAGGAACTTTGGAGTTTCAGTTATTTATATAGATCTCTATAAAAGCAATTGCAAGAAGATGTGTGGTGAATATCATGCATGTGCTGAAAATGTAACTGTTTATTTTTACGGGAATAGGGCATGATGCATATTGGAAAATGTTACGACATCAGTGCCTCCAAATTCAACTTGATGTGCCGTATGTTCTCAGCAGGACCCACCTCAGGCACCACCGGCAAAGAAGAGAAGGGCTAGTGGAAGTCTCCCCATCAGCGAGAGGACAAGCCCCAATGCTTTTATTGACTTCACTCTTATTGCGACAGAGTTTGCATCACCAGACATGACAAGATGCGTTTGGATGACATAATATGTTAAAGTGCAGTATGTACTTCTGGGTGAGCAGTGGAGCATGCAACCAACATGATAAGTCTCGTAATAATTTATAAGGGATGATGCGAGCTGATCTATGTTTGTATCGGACGAGGTGCCAGCCTTGAGGGAAACCCATCTATTGTAATATCCTGAGAGATAGCCCACCAAAAATCTATAGCGAATCAGATAAAAATGAGGGGTGGGCTAAATTTTTGTGTGCCATAAAACAAAAGTTGAAGAAACGCTATGTAGTTTTAGATATGGTGACTTTTGAAACTTGTGGCTGCAGGGAGAGGTTATGAACCAAAGACTGTCCTTCCGAGTCAGCAGTGTTTGCTTATATCCCGCTGCGGTTAAGTTACACCGTTTTTTCCAAGGTCACCATTGGCTAGGGTCCTGAAATTACTGGAAGTGGGCTATCTTGCAGTGTTTCTCATGAAAATGACAAGTCATGCCAAAAATAGTTGTGGGCTATCTTTGGGGGGGTGGGGCATCTTTCGGGACATTACAATAGTAGTACCTGGAGACACCATTTGTACTGTATTCAAGCTTCTCCAAATGTTGTTTAGCTCTTAATAAACTCTGGGGTTATAGATCTGTCAGCAGCATTGGATACATATTTTCATAATTAATCTTGTAAAAGGTTTTCTTTTGTGAAAAGTAAGCAAGGCTATGGTGTTCCTTACAAAGCTCTTCATGCTCTTAATATAGAAGTTGGCGCTTGGCAAAAGCACGGCCACTGAAGTGGCTCAGGAGACAAAGGGGACTAAAACTGTGTCATTATTATATTTGTAAACACAAATCTGTTGCAATGGGCCCTTTGCGAACGCTCATCTTAAGGTTCCATGTATTCTCCATGTATACTGTATGAAAGTGTGCACCACTTTGTAAAAGGGTCTATTACAGCCCCGGATGTAAGTGCAGTGTCATTGGTGGTACACTCAAGAGAATATTGCTTGGCCGTTTTAGAAGCATTGTAAGGTTGTTTCTTTAGAGACATCTCAAAATGTTTTCATTCCAAAGATTATTTTCTGCAATATCCTTGTCATCGTAGGTCTTTCTTTTTAGATACATGTAAAAATGACTTGCCTGAAGGTGTTACAGATGCTGAGTTTCCCCGTGAGCTCGGGGTTTTTAAAATGCTTAAATATAAGCAATCGATATTGTGCTTCTTTTTTTTTTAGAAAAGTGAAAAGTATGTGTTCATTTCCCAAAATCTAATACCATTCTCAACTGTACTTTTTCCTAGAAAATTCAGCGAAATGAAAAAAAGTGCTGTCAATGTGTCCATGAAAATGACATGTAAAGAAAATGAAAAACGTTTATGATTCTCCATAACGCCATATCGGAGCACAGCTCTTGAGGAGGAGGAGGAAATGCCCCTCGTCCTCTCTTTCTCCCCTCCTATTTAGCGAAAAATTTTCCCTAAATTTAGCGGAACAATTTTCCGCACTAAATTTGGCGAAAACTCTTTCTTCTAAATTTACGGGGGAAATTTTACTCTAAATTCAGCGGGGAAAGTTTTCCCACTAAATTTAGCAAGGAAATTTTTCTGCTAAATTTAGCGGGGAAATTATTCTGCTAAATTTCACGGTAAAATTTTTTCACGAAATTTAGAGAGAAATGATTTCGGTTAAACATAGCAGAGAAATTTCCCCACTAAATTTAGCGGGGAAATTCTACCTTCGTGACGTCACCAGTGACATCATTATGAGAAGCGTTCCATAATGCAACGCGCGCCTATGCCGACGGTGGTGCCTCTCGACCCAGAAACAGGTGCCTAAGAGCTGCGCTCTTAAAGATTTTAGCATATGTACCGTCAGTGCCATGAGAGGTACAGAGTCGGGCCGTATGAAGACTGGTCCTGTTTGTTTTACTTGTGACTTTTTTTTGTGGGCACCCCTGTTAGCACTTGTTTTTGCTACCATATGCCTTTGTTGTTCATGTCATTGTGCCATGTTTGGGATGTTAAAAAGCGGTAAAATTTTGCCTCACACGAGCGACAGTAGATTTGCAAGTTCCCTTCTGAACCTCGCCGGTGGATGCTGGCAACCATCGCAAGATCTGACAAATGGCCCATCGTTGCTTTGCAGAGAGACTTTTTCCCATTGGCCTACTCACCTTTTGGGATCATGCATTTTCTCTGGAGTTCTTATACCAGTCGAGCATCATCGAAATGAGTGTCTCGTAGCACAAAATGGATCTGTTATTTAGATGAGGAGAAGCTGTCGACCTACCTGATTGCATTCACCACCACTCCATTTGTGCAAAACAAAACAAGTGCGATGCAGTTGTCTTGCAACGCATGCTCTTGTCTGGTGCTTGAGGCTGCAAGATTTCAGCAATTTGTTTTGTTAATTGCTTTCTTGCACTGGAAGCAGTGCTTGCATACTCTAGTAGCTTGTGATTTTTCATAGGTTTAAAGTGATATTTTGTAGAACTGTATTAGAATGAGCAGACATCACCACATGGTACCTCCACAGTAGCATAGCATTCACTGCTGCCTTATATGTCATAGCAATTCCGAAGCCCAGAAAAGAGGCTCGCTTATATTTTTCTTGTGGCTATTAGTGTGTGAGATAAGCTGCTTCAATGAAAAATAAAGTACACATGACAATTTGCTGCATGAATTGGCAATGCTCATAAATTTTTTATTAACTTAAAGTGTGATTATATGACCTTAATAACAAAATTTCCTAATACTTTAATTGTTTTTTTGCCTTGTTCTCTTCCTTATATGAACAGGAGTCAAACCGCTTGTATTGTGTGCAATACTTTCTGCTGAAGGCAGTGCAGACTTGTCAAGCTTGTCTAATGTTTGCACCTTGGCATTAGACTTTCGTTGTCTTATACCTTCCTTGTCTCATTTCTCTGATCTCTTCAACAGGGCTGGCCGAAGCTGCCCTCTGGGACGATGGGGACAGCGAGACCGACTCCTCTTCCTTAAGAGGCAGACTGGTTGAGCCGCAACCCACGATGCGGCCACGGCATGAGGGCATGTACCACTGCGAGTTCTGCCCTTACTTCACTCATTATCTTTCGGATGTCACCAGGCACGAAAGAAGACACACAGGAGAGAAGCCTTTCCACTGCTCTGTCTGCGAGAAAGCATTTCCTGTACGCGGTGACTTACAGATTCACATGAGGACTCACACGGGGGAGAAACCATTCCGTTGTGACGTTTGCCAGAAGGCGTTCGCCAGAAGTCATGTCCTCATGATTCACAGAAGGGTCCATACAGGCGAGAGACCGTACCAGTGTGGCACCTGTGAAAAAGAATTTTCAGATAAATACAACCTGCTGTGTCACGAGAGAACCCACAGTGGGGAGCGGCCTTACAAGTGTGAAGCCTGTGGGAAAACATTTAAACATAGTAGTCATGTGACTAGGCATCGGAAAAAAGTGCACGAGTGAGGGATCTGAGTCATGCAGTATCTGGAGGTATGGAAGAACTGTTTGATGCTTCACTGTGCACTTCACTGCCTGTCTGTTGTCTGTTCAAATGAGGTTGAGAAATAGAGACACATTTATCAGCTCTGAACATTATCATTTGCAATTAGGCAACAGTGGCAGTACTGCTATGTAGCACACTTGTTTAATACGCTTTGGCAGCTTTTAACTCATTCGCTACCACGCGTGTCGTGTGCTGCCAGGCCGTTTGTACCGCATGTTTTCCCCCTAAAACAGGGCCACACTGGCATGAATGTTTTGCTTGTATAATAAGCTTTTACAGTAAAGTGCGGCAAACACATAACATGTTATTTACATGCTTAAGTGGTTCATTCAAGTCTTTAAATCAATATGCCCTCACAGATTCTTGCTCATATGAAAGATCTCGATGCAATTCATCCTCGGTCGCTTAGGCGTCACACAACCAGTGCGCTTTTGTCGTGATTCGGACTCAGAATTGCAGTCGGAATCGTCCCCGTCGTCAACAAAAGGTTCCGAAAACTCGCTATCCTCACCAGACGTCCCGTCATCATCGCTGTCAAAGAGGATATTAATGATTTCATCGTCAGAAAGGCCACACTGGACACTGACATCTCTTCCAAGCAGGCAGCGATTGAGCGGGAAAGACGACACACAAAAGAACAGGCTCAAACAAACACAGTGAACAGAATGGTCCTCGCCATCTGTGGGCAAAGTATCTAACTACACTACCCCAAGTCTACATAGTGCACCATCTATAAATGGCTCTTTAAAACAGAAATGCAGACTGGCAAATCTCCGGTTTTCGCAATATGGCCCCTGAGGGCACACCCGGCGATTCGTCGGCTTTGGTAGCGAATGGGTTAACTTCGTGGTTATTTTTGTTTTATGACGTATAGAGCTACTTTTAATTGTTCACATTGAGTGGATTAGGAGCATTGTGACTTAATAAGGCTCCTTGAATCCTATGTCAAGATTTTTGTGGCGACATTTTGAAAAGTGATTCCTCCGAAGTTCTCTGGATATCTAAGCATTGTTAACCTATTTCTTCCACTTTGCTCCAAGTTAAATTATGTTCCCGAGGTAGTAAAAAGAAATCTGTCAATTACTGTCCTCCTCCGTTCCTTGTGAGTTCAGTGAATCGCGAATTAACTACTTTCCTCTACAAGACATTGCCTTACTTTCTCGCTACTGTTGATGAGCATTCTACAAGCAACGGGCAATACCAATGTAACCTTTCACTTCAATCTTTTTTGGACTTGATTGATCTTTGCCAACTGACAATGGGAGGTTGTTTGGTGATGTCGTAGCTGGACCATTTGCGTTAACTTTATTTTTGCTCCACAACACTGCTGTTTGTTTTGGTAAATGTGTGAATTGTTGGAACAAATTATTGTCACTTCGAATAACATTCTACAGTGCAGACTGCATATAACTTACGTCGCGGGAGTCGCGAAAATCCGCACTATAAGTGGTATCGCACTATAACCAAAACATCAATTTTTCAGGCCGAAATACATGCCATGAGACAACTTACTTTTGTAAAAGAATTTATTTAATGTTAGATGAAAAATAAAGCTTAGTTTGAGGAAAGTCTTCATTTCACCAGACTTGTACACTTCTCTCTCAAGTGCGTCACATATTTCGAAAGAAACGAGCGACTCTTGCCTGGCGCACCCTTTTAAGTTTTAACGGCGTCGCGGGTTGCAGACGGATGTTGCGAGCATGCAGGATTGCTAACCCTAATCACTTTTCTCCGGTGATGAAAACCCGTAAAAATTTGCATCCTTTATACGGTACGCGTCAGTAATACCTACAACTTGAGCACAGGCATGAAATGTTCCAAATAAGAAATCCGGGCGATGTTCGAAAACATAAATGCTTAGAAAGCACAACTGTAGTCGAAGTAAACAAACATGACGACATAGACGTTTCTGCCGTCTTGAGAGTGCCACCACGACATTGCCGCAAGAGTAGGTGGATCTTCCCTTCTAGTACGTGCTGCGTTATCATAGCGACACACAACGAAAATTCACAGTCAAGAATAGCACTTTTAGGCGAAACGATGAGCTTCCACCATGCCGTCTACGTCGACGATCACAACCGACGCCATGTTTGCGGATAGAAGAAGCCGGCCCGCGACCGGCATGCAACGCGCGCGAACACTTCTCCTCGACCTGTTGTTGCGGTTGTTTCCAACCATATTTCCAACGCAGCAGAGGGATGCACGCACGTGAACAACACGTGCGTGCGTCCCTCCGTCGCTATGGCAAGTGAAGCCTCTCTCTTCACTTCTCCCCGTTTCTTCGAGCAACCTCCTTGCCCCATGAGTGCCGCTTGCGGTTAGCGCTGTCAGCGCCGTTATCTAGTGTCGCAGTGTCGCACAGGGAAGCGTGCTCGCTGCGCCAATTGTTGGCGCGGTCGGCGGGCTGTTCCAGAAACCGCACTGTAACCGGTATTTCCCTTCGCGCGCCTGCATTTTAAGTGGTATGTAATTACATGGAGTTCTATGGGAGGCAAACCAGTGGTTTAAAAAAAAACGCGTTATACCCGGTCCTGCACTATAAGCGGTTACGTTGTAAGTGGTCTATACTGTATTGGGTTTACTACTTGCTTCAAATACACAGCGTCATTGAAAAATCTGCTAAGTAACTCATTTTTGCAATCACTTTGGGTGTGTTTTACAGGCAGGTTTAGGTTACTGCGCATCAAGTGCTCGTGCACTGAGAAGAAGCACCACCTGTAGGTAGACTGCATTCCTGCATATCTTGCTTTGCTGCAGTGCATCTTTGTGCTAGAAAAAAAAAAAAATAAAGAAATAAAAAAAAAATAAAAGAATAAATAGAGATTGCACTAGACTCTAAAGGATTAATTTTTATGTTGAGTCGCACGCTACCTCTATTACAGCCCTTAAGTTATTCAAAGGATCCAGCTCTCTAGTTGAAATCTAATCTAAAAGGCTGGAGTGGTACAGAAATGAATGCTTGGAAATACTATCAAGGAGTGGAGCTGGATAAGTATATATATCGGCATGGCCATTTTGCATCATTATAATGAAACAGACTACACCAACTTTACGTTACAATTATAACACTTGAAGTTGAGACGTTTTGTCTGCCATACAGGAGAGATATCAAATATGCTAAGTTGGCATTCCTGCCAACTTGGCATCACTGATGATGTGTTATGTATGGAAGACGAAACGTCTGATTAAATTGTTATATTTGTTATGTGGTGTTGATGTGGTGTCTGGTCTCTGGAATATTTTTGTAACCATTGTAGCATTAGGAACTTTAAGAAAACATAAAATTTTGTGGTAACACATTTTTCATTCTAATGGTGAATCCCACTCATAGATCCGGAGCGCTTTCCGAAATCCGCGAGGGAGGCAAAATTTGGTTCCTTGGGACCCGCTCCGAATAGACGAGGGGAGGATAAACTCACATTTTTGGAGCGACCTCCCCCGGCCTTTCAAAATGGCCGCTGCTCGAACTGATCTTTCCGACGACCAGTGACAACTGTCACTGCTTAGCTGCAGAAATAACACGCGACACTGGCCGGGCGAAATTATACGTACCACGGCGCCCATGTCACAAATAACAAGAAAGACGTCCGCGTTCGGCACCCTCACATACCTTTCGGCCGCCTTGAAGCAGGGGGGCACGCACAGCAGTTACCATCGGTGGAGTTCAGATTTCTGGTACGACTTTAATACACACAAAGGTAACAAACCATCACTTGCACGGTCGTCGCCTGATCCCTTCTTGCTTTATTGCACGGGAAAACGCTGGTAGAATGCAGTGTTAAAAGGTAAACAATCATTGGTTGCAGAATGAACAGGCCTAACCTTGCGTCTGGGGTGCTATGTTGCGCTTTTTGGACTCCCAGGAGACTAGGAAGAGTGAAGTGACGTCAACGACACAGCAAACGCAGATTGGATGTTGACAGAAGAAAACGAAATCAACACCCAATCTGCGTTCGCTGTGTCGTTGACGTCACTTCCCTCTCCCTAGTCTCCTGGGAGTGCAAAAAGTGCAACATAGCCCCCCTGCTTCCATACTTTTTTGTCGTTCTTTTTCTCGTTCTTCCTCTCACAACCACAGATGTCGGCGCTTACGATTTAACACGCTCCAGTCCAGGCTTTGTATCCCTGATCTACGCGAGGTAGAAGCATTCGAGCGGTCACAATTTCGCATAAACAACCGACGCATCATAGCAGCTCTTACTCGACAACCCGACCGTGGTGCCGTGGCCCAATCAGCGCGGCGACCTTGCCAACCTCGCTGCGCATGCGCACTGCCGATTTAGAAGGAAATGACGTAGTGCGCTCACTGAGGCATATTATTTTTATTTTTTTTCTCTCGCCTCACAATATCTCTTGTCAACTTCCGGAAAGATCTGTGAATTCCCGTGGAGCAAGTTCTGCGGGGTTGGAGGCGCTCCGTGGAGCGGGCGCTGCAAGAGATCTATTAGCGGAAGATGGCTAACTCGAGCCAGATGTGCGAGTGGAATATGCGGCGCTCCAAATGGAGCGCTTTTGGAGCGCTCGAGATCTGCGAGCAGAATTCACCATAACATCTTAGTGGAATATTATTTTTTACCTTTTACAGTGGTTTACCCTTCATCTCCTGCAATGGGCCTTTCTAAACAAAAAGCATTCATCTTGTCACAATAATTCTTTTTCCCTATCTGGTGCTTTCAAACATGAATGGACAGCTAGCCGAGTGTTTGAGGGAATCAAGCTGCCTGTTTCTAAAATGTTTGCTGACAGGAAAAGCAAAGAAGGGAATGATTTTCATGTCACATGAATTTCAACCAAGTGTTTATAGTAGAATGAATATGAATGAAGTTTAATGCTGGCCTCCCAAAGTGACTTCAGGTGGACAAGTCATATCATATTGCAAAGGAATTAAATTTTGAATGCTTGAGGTCAACCTCTGCTGGTGCTGGATCGGGCCAATAGGGTGGTATTGTGATCGCATTGAATCCTTTCTGGAGGTGGATTGACTGAGCAAATTGTCTTGGTCACTTGTTTGAAAAGTGAATGTTTCTTCATATCCACTTCAACTTCGAAGTTTGGCAATATTTTGTTGCCCCAATTCACTGCACTCTAATCGGTGAACCTGTTTGGAATTTGGCATTCAAAATTTGGACAAAATGCTGTTGTTTTTGGTCAGGTTGTCATCAGTGTACATTTTTTTGTACTGTGAAATATATTTTTTCATGTATGTATGCACATGTGATTGCATGTACAGAATCCAGGGTGATTTTTTTTTAAATGAATCTTTTGTGCTTTTTATTGCAAATGTTTTTGTTGCTCTAAGTTTATTCTGCATGACGAACTCCTTCCTTGCTGAGGTGTCGATAGAGAAATGTCAGTGATTCTTCAGTTTGACTTTTGAGCAAAATAAATATGATCGCAGCTGCAGCCTTTCCTGAAGATACATTTTATATTGCGTCACAAGCATTATCAATGCATATAGTACCAAGACTTGACCTGCACAATTTGGACTGGTATTCTCTAACAACCTGTATAAGTCTCTAACAGTTTTTTTTTTTATGAAATAAATTTAAATATTTTAGTCATGGTGGTTTCGGAGACATGTTTACACTGTATCTCCACATTTCGAGACCTCAAATAAACTTGAGTTGCTGAATTGAGAAGTATTTATTTTAATTAAACATGAAACAACAAAGTCCTAATATATATTTTTAAAAAAGTAATTAACATTATTTAGTTGCATGCCAAAAAGACAATTGCGCACGTCTGCGTCAGACTAAATAAAAAAATGCATGAAACTGGTGCCGACATTTGATATGCTAAAGCTCGTACACAACCAAGTCCCTGGGCTTTTTGAAAAT